TCAGCTCCCCCTCTCCCATGTCCCCTGGAACTGTCAGTCCTGTTGTTTTCTCCTCCAGATTGTTCATCCAGCCTATCTTATTTAGACACACTGTCCACATATTGCGGGCTATTGGCTGTGGCCCTCCAGAGAAGCCTGCCCCAGACACAGCCTGAGCAAACACAGAAATACCATGCGCACCTGACAGAGGTCAGCCAGCTGGTCAACCACAGAGAGAACTCTTCCCTCGGCAGCCTGCGAGCCGCACCGTGTGTGCATGCACTCACCCGATACGTGTTGTTGACAACGATGGGGTCAGGGTGGCCGTAGTTGGGCGGGTTTGCATAGGGGTCATAGCCAAGCCGGGCCAGCATAGGGGCGATCTGGGCCATGTCTTTCACCACGTCCCCTGGGATGTGGCCAGTCCACTTGGAGAGGGCTTCCAGATTCACTGGCTTGATGACTTGGTCTGTGGACCGCTCGATCCTGGGGAGAGAAGACAGGCTGGACTGGGAAAGGGCAGCGCTGGACAGCGCCCGGGAGGCCTGCCCTGCTCAGTTTGGGCCTGCGCTCCCTGGAGCCTCTAAGGTGGGGAGATGAGATGCCGTCATCTCCCTCCTCTGTACAATACAGGGAAGAGTGTGTGATGGGAGGAGGGAGGAGGGCCCAAGGCAGCGCATTCTTCGATTGATACAAATAATTCTGTATCAATATAACTAACAGGAAGCTGGGATCTTGCAACGAAAAACGCTAAAACATGGAAGAAAAAGCTGGACTTCACCATTGCTAGTGCTTTGTTCCTTACGCCTTACTCTGGGTACATGCACGGCTGCTAACCAAGAGGTTGGCAGTTCAAATCCAACCAGAGGCCCCTCAGAAACAAGGCCTGGTTGTCTGTTGCTGAAGCCCACAGTCGGGCTCACCTCATGGGGGACACCGGCCCCTTCAATCCTGGGGTATGTGTTTTAAATAATAGAAGCATTAAGAAGAGACCCAGGAGCCCACTGACATGGGTTGACTTGCTATCTATACCACCACTTCCCTCACCCCGAAGCCTCAGGAGCAGAGCATCTACCTCCTGGAGATGTTGTAAGGATGAGATGTACTAAGACAAGGAAAGCGCTTGGAAGAGAACATGTTGCATGTTCAATAGCAGCAACATGCACACACATACGTGGCCAGAAGCACCTATAGAGCGCTTGTCTTTGCACCTGCGAATAGAGAAAAAGCCTAGGGTAGATGGATTTCTTAAATTTAAAACAAATGTAGGAATGGCCTTGTAGGAAAGCGACCATCAAAGAGCGGATGGAACTTGAAGGCCACATGATCTCTAGGACAGGAAGATGCTGCTGGAGGTTCACGATGCCAACCGTGCTAGAGAGAGAGCCGAGTCCAGTGAGAGGCCGCTGGCATCACACAGTGGGTTACCCAGTGGGCTGCTACCCTCAAGGGCAGCATTTCAAAACCACCAGTCGCTCCACGTAAGAAAGATAAAGCTTTCTATTCCCATAAACACTTACTGTCTCTGAAACCCAGGGGGGCAGTCTATCCTGTCCTATGCAGTCGCTATGAGCTGGAATCAACCTGAGGTATTGTTTTTTTCTGTAACTTTCATTTTTGCCCTCCCACTCAGCAACATCTGATTGTTTATTTCCAGCTGGGTAGCATTCTACAGCACGGATATAACACAACTGGACACCAAGCCCACTGCTGTCAGAACAAGTCAGCCTCACAGCGACTCTATGAGGCAAAGAAGTACTCTGTAGGGTTTCCGAGGCTGCCACTCTTTGCAGGGGCAGATAGCTCCATCTTTCTCCCGAGGGGCAGCTGCTGGGTTTGAGCTGCCTAACGTAGAGCACCAGCAAACTCCAAGCGAACTCGGTGCCACCAAATTGATTTAGCCTCACAGCGCCCTATAGCACAGGGGAGAACTGGCCCTGTGGCTTTCCAAGGCTGCACACATCTTTATGGGAATAGACAGCTTCATCTCTTCCCCTTGGAGCAGCTGGTGGTTTCAAACTGCCGACCTTGTGGTTAGCAGCCCAATGCACATACCCACGATGCCACCAGGGCTCCTTGAAATCAAAACTCACCAGTGAAGTTGATCTGACTCACAGCGACCATATAGGCTAGAGTAGAACTGGCCCTGTGGGTTTCTGATTGTGACGCTTTCTGGGAGTTGAAAGTCTCACCTTTTCCCTAGGAAAAACTGACCTTGCAGTTAGCAGTCTGATGCCTACCCACCCGTGCCACCTATCACTGCTGTTGTTAGGTGCCATGGAGTCGGTTCTGACCCGTATCGACCCGATGCACCGCAGAACAAAACACTACTTGGTCCTGTGCCATCCTCACCACTGCTGTGATGTTTGAGCCATCTCGAGCACATTACATGAAACGGGGTAATCATGTACCAGATCCTATGTCTGATCATGTATACCCCAACCAAAACCAAACTCAGGCAGCATCGAGTCCATGCTGACTCATAGTGACCCTACAGGCCAGGGCACAGCCGCCCCTGTACATTTCTGAGACTGCCGCTCTTTAACGGAGTAGAAAGCCTCCTCTTGCTCCCCCAGAGCAGCTGGGAGCTTCAAACAGCTCACCTTGTGGATCACAACCCAACGCATAACCGCTACACCACCAGGGCCCCTGGAATAGCACACAGCCACTCAAAATGATGTCGTAGCAGCATGCTGGATGCCATGGGAGAGCGGGGTGAGGGGCAGGGCGGGCAGGAAGGGAATCAAGGTTACAAAGTGTTACAAGATTACAGAATGTTCCACAGGGCCTCTGTGAACCAGATTTGGCTCCATGCAGGGGTGAAGTGGAGATGCTCGGCTGGACTTCTGTTGATCAGTTTACCTGAACAAAGCACCAACAGGCTACATACCAAAATATCAACACCACAACTCACTGCCTCGGAGTCATTTCTGACAGCGACTCTATAGGACAGGGTAGGACTGCCCCTGTGGGTTTGACACTGTAACTTTCTACAGGGGTAGAAAGCCTCATTTTTCTTCCATGGGGAGGATGGTGGTTTTGAACTGGTGACCTTGTGGTTACCAGCCCAGTGTGTAACTGCCTATGCCTCTGGGGCTCTTATATCAAAATATGGATGGTGAATTGTGGGCTATACTTTTTCTTTTAAGTGTACCCTCCACTTTCCTAAGATAAAAACACATACCTATGATAATCCAATGTTTTGACCTTAATTTGTACAACCCCACTTCCAGTACCAACCATCGCTCATTCCTTTCTCCAACCATGAAACCAAGGCTCAGAGAAGAACAGGGACTGGCCCAACCCTGCCACACTAAAGGTGTGCGATCCTGATGGAAGTTTTGCTTGTAAGTTGGATGCATCTGCACAGCTACTGAGGAGGCAGAGGCTAGGTAGGAGAGGTACAGACACTTGCCCTTGGCCACATAGCCCGGTGAGGCAGCCGAGCCAAGCTTCCTGCGGGGCCCCTGTGGCTGCAGGGCTGTGCAGAGGCACGGGGGCACCACTCACTTGGACAGGGAGATGCCGCCCGGCTTGCCAATGAGGTCCTCGTGGTGCAGGACCGTGTCGCTCCAGGCGATGCCCAAGAAGTTGAGGATGAGCTTGAGGGAGCGGCGGGGGTGCAGCACCAGCTGCTCGTAGTACACGGGCAAGCACTTGTCCCTGCCCACTTCCAAGCACTGGGCGTACATGATCTCGATGGCCTTGTTCCACTTGGTCAAGCAGTCCCGGTAGCTGCTGAGGTCGAAGCCGGCGATGGTGACCTTGCGTGAGATCATGGAGTGCACGGAGGCCCGGCCATCACGCACCATTAGCAGGAACTTGGAGTTGGGGAAGAGGCGCGACAGGTAGACAGAGGACTTCAGGGTGAAGGGGTCTTTGTTGCACAGCACACGGGCGGGCTCACCATGCTTGGCGATCACCTCCAGGATGAAGGCCTGCATGGCGGCGTCTAGCACCTCGTCCGTCACGCCCGCCTCATCCAGCCGCAGTTTCTCTCGGCCTGACTTGGACCAGGCTTGGCGCATGGCCAGCACTCGGGGGATGATGCGGGTCTCCTCGCCACAGCGCACCTCAGGGTGGGCATCCAGCATGGCGCGCATCAGGGTGGTGCCACTGCGGGGCACGCCGCCCACGAAGATGAGCGGCGTGGCTTTGCTGTAGCGGTACTCCACGTGGTTGGTGCCCACCATCACCAGCTCCTCCTGCTCTGGCCTCATGGTCCGGCGGGGGCCCCTCGGGCCAGCCAGCACTTCCCGACACTCCAGCACCTGCTGGCCCAGCTGCACCGCCAGCACCAGGGCCAGGGTGCAGCCGGCTGCCAGCAGCAGCCTCCGCACCGACAGGCGCATGCCGGGCTGGGGCTGGGGTTGAGGCAGGCCCAGCCGGGGGGCCGTGACAGCGACGGGTCAGCAGGCGGCCGGCCAAGCTCACATCTATGGAGAGAGACACACACACAGCTGTGTCAGGGTAGAACGGTGGGGTATTAGTAGCAGGAACTGTGCTATGGAAACTCAACCCAGGGGAGAAGGCACGCTGACTAGCCCAGAGGGCCTGAGGCTGGTGGGCTGTGAACCACAGACGCCACCCCTCTGCCTCATCTGATTAACAGACTGGGGGGGATCTTGGGTGACTTGAGGCCATGCTGAGTTTCCCAGGTGCAATCTTAACTCTAGCAGACAGAGAGCCAGGACTTTCTCCCGGGGACCCGGTTGGTTGTGTTTGGTTAGCATCCTAGCCCTTAGGCTAGACTTTCCCAAAGTGGGCGATGCCACCCACTAGGGGACGCCGGGATGATCCAGGGGCCCGTAAAAGCAGTTAAGTACCCCCAAACCAAACACACGGCCAAAGAGTTGATTCTGACTCACAGCGACCCTGCAGGGCAGGATAGCACTGTCACTCTTTATGGGAGTAGAAAGCCTCTTCTTTCTCCCAAGGAGCAGCTGATGGTTTTGAACTGCTGACCTGGTGGAGAGCAGCCCCATGAACGGGTAAGCGCTATGCCACCAGGACTCCTTTGCAAATGCAGAGGCATCAGGGGACCCGCTTGGGTCTCAGCTGCACCAGTCCCCCAGGACTCTCATTCAGGGCCCCTGGTGGAAAAAGTGGAGGGACCAGGCGGCCTCCGGCACAACCAGGGGCAGGGGCAGGGGCAGGGGGTGGGGCGGAAACCAGGAGGCACTGGCACTTCCTGGCCCTGCAGTGGAGGGAGCAGCACTTCCTCCTCTTAACCACAGTTTCCTGAGCAGAAAACTAGGGGTGGGGGGGCCCTGACCTCAACAAGCTGCAATGAGCAAGGCCTGAGGCGTGTTCCCTCTTGAGGGCTTGGCCTCTGGGAGCACTGGGTCACGGTGGCGTGCCCTGGGAAACGGAGCCATGAAAACGGGCCAGAAAAGGAACCACACTTGCTGTCCTGTTGATTCAGACTCCTGACATCCGGTGGCTGTCAGAGCGGAACTGGGTTCTCGCTACAGGGTTTCAAGGCTGTGACCTGTCAGAAGCACTGACAGCACTTCTTCTGGTGGTGGGGGG